AAGAGGTGGGGAAGAGGGTTGGGGGAGGTCAACTGTTAATTTCTTTTCTAAAACAACCTTTAACTGGACTGTAAGGTGAATTTTTAACTTCCCTCCCTCCGCCTGCTTATTTCTTCCCTTCCCCTTTCCTCCCTCTCTCCCTCTCTCTTTACTTTCTTTCTCAGTTGAACAGGGAAAGAATTAAGGGTTCTATTTGCATTTTTATTTTGCCCCTGCATTGCTGAGACCTGGGCTGCGACTCCTGTTAGCTATAGTGACACCTGCTGTCAGGCGTGAGAATGACGGCTGCACTGCAGCCGACTGTGCTTGCCCTGAGCCTTCGAGCTGAGGCCAGCTGGAGGGCCTCACTCTAGTTTACAGGCATGGTGACCGGTGAGGGCTGTGGGAGAGGGTCCTTAGTTGATAGCAGGAAAAACCATCAGATATGCAGACCTCCAGACACAGGATATCAAGCTGAGTAAATACTGCATAGATATCTGAGTAAACAAAGCTTTGCGTGGGGCTCAAAGAGAGGTAGCTCTTTGTTTTCTCTTGTGAAGTTCCAAGGAAGGAGTCCAAAAAGATATTCAGAGAATAACATTTCAAGATATTTTGAAGGAGAATTTGCAATATCAGCTAGGTGAAACCTAAACTCCAAGGTTTACAGTTGGCTTGCAGTTTGGGCCGTTATTTCTGATCATCACATACCTCCAAAGTAAAGAAATGGATTCTCTCTGGGAAGGCTGCTCAGAGAATATGGAAGGAAAGCACACGAGTCCCCTCGTTGTACAGTGTCAGGAGAACATTTCTCTGGGTAGGCCTGAAACCTCAGGACTGCAGCACTAGTAGCTTTCATCTACACTGTTGGTTGGTGGCAGGGACAGGCACTTAAAGCAGTTCTCTGGTTAAGGTACTCTTGATGTTTAATTTCCCATAAGCATCATGAAGAAACATTTATTTTCCAGGATGTCACATTATTTCAATTATTTCTCTTTGATTAGAAATAAACAAGCCACCTATAGCCAAGATAACTGGAAATGTGGTGGTTACCTTACCCACGAGCACAGCAGAGCTGGACGGCTCTAAGTCCTCAGATGACAAGGGAATAATAAGCTACCTCTGGACTCGAGATGAGGGGAGCCCAGCAGCAGGGGTAAGTGTGCTGGGAGCTGGAGAGCCACACAGGAAAGGGGAGGAGGAGGAGCCACACATTCCAGTATATGTTTTAATCAAGTGGCCCCTTAATATCAAACATGGATTGTTCTCTGAAATCCAGGGAGGTTAAGTGATTTGCTTAGAGCCATTCTGTAAGCTAGTATAGCACAGAATGGGTTTCTATCCCCTGATCTTAGCAGCTGTAGGCTGCAGTGCTGTTCCAGATCAGGAATTGCCCAAGGTTGAAACAGTTCAGCCCTGAAGGGCTTAGTTATGGTGGAAGCAGCAACTGCCTCTAGGAAAGGAGTGGCATTTTGTTCTGTAACATAGTCATGTTGTTCAACCCTATAGGAGGTGTTAAATCACTCTGACCATCACCCTATCCTTTTTCTTTCAAACCTGGTTGAGGGAACCTACACGTTTCACCTGAAAGTGACCGATGCAAAGGGTGAGAGTGACACAGACCGGACCACTGTGGAGGTGAAACCTGGTGAGTTCATTTAGTGTTGAAGCTGAGTAGAATGCTTGGATCAGCCAATCAAGGCTGCTATCCTGAGACCCCTTACCCTAGTATGGACAGAGCCAGATGGCATGTCCAGCTTTAAAAATAAATCTAGAAACCCCAAGCTGAAAAATCCTTAGAGACTGTCTGTTCCAACAATACCTCCTACCCATGCAGAAATACAGACCTCCTGCTATTCATCTCAGATGGAGAAACAAACTCAGAGAGGGCAGGACTTGCTCAGTGTCACACAGCAGTTGTGTCAGAGCCAAGCCTTTGTGCTCCTAGTCCAGCACTTTCTCCTCTCCTCGTGACTGATGAGACAGGGCTCAGGGTGCTTAGGAATCTGAGCACAGGAATAGCTTGAGTCATGATGTCTCATCAGGATCCAGATGCAGAAAACAATTTATTTTTATAAGTTAAGCCTCAGGCCTTATCTGACAATTCAGGGAAGGTAAAGTAATAGTGCCCTTTACATTTTTCAGCTTTGCAGAAATAAAAATTTTCTTCTTAAATAGAACCATGTTTTTGTTTTGCTTTGAGGTTAATTTGGTGATAGGGAGGCACAGAGAGTGGAGGTGGGATAGAGCTTTAAAAAGTCCTGAGCTTCTGATGAAATGGTATTAACTTTAAACCTATTCTTTATTATCTAGGCCAAGCTCATATATGGATGTTTTAGACAATAAGGGATTTTGGGAGGTTTCCAGTCCTTGTCTTGCCTCTAGGAAGGACAGTAGCTGAGACACTATAAAATCTCTTTGGTGTTTAAAGTCAGATCACAGATAGTCTACTAATTATGCAAATTATACATCAGAACAGGCAAGTGGTGCATTCAAGTATATAAATAAGGCATTACAAACAATCAGTTTGAAATTCCAAATGTAGAATATCTTTAGGACATATTCAAAAGTAAAACACGATAGTCTCACCATTTTAGAGTTATGTAAAAATAATGCAGCTGTGATGTGACTCTAAGGAAATCATTGTTTCTTGGCTGACTGGATTTTCTTTTGTTAACTGTATTTAAACCTGGAGGGACAATGCATTCCCATTATTGAGAAGACTGTTGAGATGGACACTTTTCCTCCCATTATTATGCGCAAAATAACAGTGAGGCACTGAAAATCAGATGTGAGTCAGGAAAGATTGCATGATACCCCCCACTTGGTCTGGATTGCTCAGCACCGCCAGTTGCACAGAGGCTTTTAAAACAAATGTTTAAGTGTTTCGCTCTTCCCCACTCCCTTCATTACTCCCCACCTTCATTGCCTCACTGCTTCAGCCTTATCCCCAGCACATTTGTTGGAATTCTCAGGTTGGTATAGAGACCAGGAGTACTTTAGAAGCTTTCTAAGCCAGCCCCAGATTTCCCAATTAGGAATTTACTGTCTCTTTCCATTTGAAGGACAGCTGAATGCTCTCACTCCTTTCCCTCCTGTGCCAAAGCAAATGCACAGAGACAGGTCTATGTTTACTCTCCTACTTCTAAAGCCATGACTGATCCACATGCTTTCCAGATCCCAGGAAAAACAACCTGGTGGAGATCATCTTGGATATCAACGTCAGTCAGCTAACTGAGAGGCTGAAGGGGATGTTCATCCGCCAGATTGGGGTCCTCCTGGGGGTGCTGGATTCCGACATCATTGTGCAAAAGATTCAGCCGTACACGGAGCAGAGGTAGCCGGGCAATGAATGGGGGGCACAAAGGAAAGACCAGGGGACCCCAGCCTTCTTGAATGAGCTGAGAAATAGTGTGGCTACATAGAGAAGGATGGGCTTTCTAACCAGAAACACTCATGATGTCTTTTCTTCAGTAGACCTCTCCCTTCTAGTGCAGGTGACATGCGCTGTACTAGACACTGCAGCAGGGCTCCAGGGTATAGGAGGTCTACTATTTTGACAACCACAGACTAGTAGGGGAGATAAGTAAACATGGAACATTAGTACAGGGTGGATTTGATACAACAAGCAGCATTGTGGAACACCATGGCAAGGGAATGAATCCTAGGAGATTGGGGCAGGGATAATCTAAAGATTTTTCTAGAAGAAAGAAAACTTCAACCTGGGCAACATAACAAGACCCCACTTCTACAGAAAATTTAAAAATTAGCCCAGTGCAGTGCAATACACCTGTAGTCCCAGCTATTTGGGAGACTGAGGCAGGAGAATCACTTGAGCCCAGGAGTTTGAGGCTTCAGTGAGCGATGGTCACACCACTGCACTCCAGCGTGAAAGACAGAGTGAGACTGTCTTAAGAAAAAAAAGGACAAAGGAAACTTGTATTGACCAGGCATGGGAGGACTGGGAGGAAATTCAGAACAAGGGAACAGCAATGAGCAATGGCCCTATGGTATGAAAGTGCACGGTTTCTTCCAGAAGAAGTCACTTGGTTCAAAGCTTAGTGGCCCCAGGATGTGGTAGAAGACAAGATTGGCAGTAGAGACAGAACAGTTATATGCAAGCTGAGGATTTTAGTTTTAATAGTTTGGGTAGGCAGATCCGAGTTGGTTTGTTTTATGTGTGTAAAGTTTTTGCTTTGTTTTTAAAAGGAAGGAAATTCCATAATTTGATTTTTTTTTTTAAAAAAAAAAGATCAGTAGTGTGGAAGCTAGACTAAAATAGAGAGAGACCAAAGGCTGGGTGACCAACCAGGAAGCTTCTGGACTAGTCTAGTAAAAAGGTAATAAAAACTGAATTAAGGTAGTGGAAGAAGAGAAGGAATTAAAAGAAATTCAGTGGTAATTCAACAGGACTTGGCCCTTTAGGAATGAAGGTGAGTGAGATATTAAATGTGAGGCTTTTGGTTTGGTTATCTGATAGATGGTTCAGGTCATTAACTGAGGTTGGGAAGGCAGATGGAACCAGTTTGGATGATTGAGTTTGGGGTGTCTTATGGGCTGCATCAGGAGATGTTCCATCAGATAGCTACAAGTAAAGGCTGCAACTTGTGGAAGGAAGAGCCCGCGATAGGAGTTACTGGCATATAGGCAGGAGCCAAAGCCATGAAAATGGGTGAGTCTCACTGGGAGAGAGTCAGGATGGGTGAGGACACAACTCTGAAGGCCATCATTATTTAAGAAGGAGGCAGAAAACAAAGAGGTAGCAAAGGAAACTAAGAAACAGCAATCAGGTGGGAGGAAAACCAAATGAGAGTGGTCTGCTGGAAGTTAAGGGGTGATCTGACAAAAAGGGTGCTTCTAAAGGATTCAGATGCTACAGGGATGGAAGTGTGGTGAGAACACAAAATAGGCCTATGGGTTTGTGATTAGTAGATCAGCACAACGATAGTGAGAGCATCTTACTTAGATGTTGGGCGCAGATGACAGACTTCATGGTTTGAGGATACCGAGATGGTCAGTATAACACTTTTTTGAGGGAGTTGGTGCTGAAAATAATATTGGAGATAGGATTGAAAGAATATCTTTTATTTATTTTTTTTCATTGTAGTCCTTGTGGAACAAGAACATCTTTTTAAAATAGGAAATTTGTGAGCATCTGTACAGACTGAGAGGAAAAGCAGATGGTGGAGACAGGGGATGGGTAATAAATGGAGGCAGATCTGGGGGACCAGCCAGGGTTGGGGACATGAGTTGAGAGCAGTGGCTCCCAACTCCAGCCATTTAGTAGAATCCTATGGAGGCTGTCTGAACATAACACTGCCCAAGCCTTAGCCCCAGAGATTATAGTTCAGTTGGTCTGGAGTGGGGCCTGGGTACCTAGAATGGAAAACCTCCCAGGTGAATTTAATATACAGTCAGGGCTCACTAAGTCAGAGACAGCACAATTAGGGATAAGTATACTCAGCATCCTGGGAGTAGGAACAAGGCAAATGGCTGCTTGATTGATCCAAATTGGCAGGAATTCGCCGTCAAGCAGTGGAAAGACATGACCAAGAATGCTGGTAAAAGCACTGTTGACAGAATTGCTCAGATTCACCAGCACTGCATATGGGACATGAGCAAGAGACAAGCTTCTGGGTTTCTCTGAGCTTCTAGCTTGGACTGGATTGTCTTAGTTAAGGAATTTAGGAAGAACATGTGATTGGACGAAATCGTACTTTACAGTGGGAAAGAACATGGCCCTTACTCTAGACCCAGCTTCTGTGCCATGACCTACTAGTGTTAGCTCTATGAAGGTGGGAAAGCTACTTCACCTCTCTGAACCTGTTTTAACATCTGTGAAAATACTAGTACCTATTTATAGGATTGTTATGAGATTAAATGTTAACGTTTGTATAGTCCCTCACACATAGTGTTCAATTAATGGTTATTATGAGTTGATTTTGAGACTTGTTAGATTTGAGGCATCTTTTGAAGCTCTGGTGTAGATATTCACACAAGTGTTTGCAGATATAGACCGGTCATTCAGGAGAGATGTGGGGAAAGGAGATAAAGATTTGAGGGTTGTTGATATATAGACCAAAATTGAAACTGTAAGCATGGATTAGGTAACTGGGAAATGGACCACACATCCTTTATGGCAAAGGTTTTTTGTTTTGTTTTGTTTCTGGAATTTATAATGCCCCATTGTAAATCCCACCGTGCAGCTAGCTTTTAGAAAGTCTATGGCAGTGCATCTCAGACTTGTATGTCATGCATGCCTAGAAAATAATACCACTTATAGGGTATCTTGGGATAAACAGAGAAGGCTGCTTGTACTGGAAGCAACTGGTCCAGGGCCTCTAGGGTGCTCAGGTCCCACCCAGACACACTGCATGCTGAGGGAATCAATATCTTGGTCATACTTGTAAACCAATGTGACCCAGTGATCTAGAAAGTTCTAATTGTAAAACAAACATGGAGCTCAAGAGGCAAGCTACTAAAAATTAAGGCTAAGACATAGAACAGACTTTGTGCTACCCAGTTGTGAGTTCAGATGTGGTCTGTCTGACAGAAATTGGCAGTCAGCAAACAGATTCTGGGCATGGAGTAGTATAATTTCATAGCAGCCATACTACAGTAGAAGGTCTTTCTTTTGTTTGTCATCATAATTGTTTTGGCTATGTTTTGACCTATGGATAATTTTTGATGCTGTCCAACCATTTACATTTACAAAGCATTGTGATTTGTCTTTAAAGGAACCCAGTTACAAACCCAGCAGTCTTAGCTGTAAAAAGGCGGACAACAGGGATGTAGCCATACCAAATCCCCATTTTTCTCATCTTCCAGTTAGATGGAGGGTATGGGTCCTCTTGCTGGAGGAGTGGGTTCTTTTATTAGCTGAGGGCAGCTTAGGGCATTTAAAAAAGAACAGGCTTTGTAGTCAGACATAACAGGGTTGGGATCTGGCTCTGCCATAATCAACTGTGTGACCTTGGGCAAGTTACTTACCCCCTCTTACAGAGTCCCAGTGTTGTCCTCTGTAAAATGGAGATGACCCTGATAACGCCTTTCTCACTGGCTTGTAGTCACAGAATGCGTATAATACTTAGCACAGTGTCTGTCGCAAACAGAAGGTACTTAGTAAATGGTAGCTGCTGTTGCAGGTGTGGGTCCCTTCAGCTCATTTGTACTGTTGCATGTCTCTGCAGCACCAAAATGATATTTTTTGTTCAAAACGAGCCTCCTCACCAGATCTTCAAAGGCCATGAGGTGGCAGCGATGCTCAAGAGTGAGCTGCGGAAGCAAAAGGCAGACTTTTTGATATTCAGAGCCCTGGAAATCAACACTGTCAGTGAGTAATTCTGGGAAGTTGGGAGCAAGAGCCTACCCAGTACCTGCAGCTCACCCATTGGTCCTCTCTGTCCTTGGCCTTCATCTCCTTTTCTCTGGGAAGATGGAGATAATCATTTTCCTGCACTACCATTATGAAAGTCCTGATTCATAACTGGGGGTTCTTAACCTGGGACCCATGGGCCTCTGAGATCACGTTCAGAAGGCTGTGAGTTTGAGTGGGGAAAAATTACATCTTTATTTTCACTAACCTTTGACTGAAACCCACTATTTCCTTCAATGATCAATGTAGGCAACAAACTACAGTAGTATCAACAGAACCTGTGGCTTTGGGGCAATAGAAATAGCAAATTTCCTATCACATTACATGATGTCATTTTTACTTATCACTACTTCAAAATTATGATAATTGTTAAACCCACTTCTAGCTCTTGGTTTGTTTTGTTTTTGAGACTGTCTCACTCTGTCCCCCAGGCTGGAGTGCAATGGCACGATCTCAGCTCACTGCAACTTCTGCCTCCTGGCTTCAAGCGATTCTCCTGCCTCAGCCTCTCACGTGGCTGGGATTACAGGCATGAGCCACCACACCAGGCTAATTTTTGTATTTTTAGTAGAGATGGAGTTTTGCCATGTTGGCCAGGCTGGTCTTGAACTCCCAACCTCAGATGATCCACCTGCCTTGGCCTCCCAAAGTGCTGGGGTTACAGGTGTGGGGCCACCACACTTGGCCTATTTAATGTTTTAATGAAGACACAATGTTATTTCAAAAATGGGTCTTCTTTTTCTTTTTGAGACCGAGTCTTACTTTGTTGCCCAGGCTGGAGTGCAGTGGCGTAATCTCAGCTCACTGCAACCTCTGCCTCCCGGGTTCAAGTGATTCTTCTGCCTCAGTCTTCCAAAGAGCTGGGATTACAGGCATGCGCCACCATGCCCAGCTAATTTTTATATTTTTAGTAGGGACAGCGTTTCATTATATTGCCCAGGCTGGTCTCTAACTCCTGACCTCAAGTGATCCACCTGCCTTGGCCTTCCAAAGTGTTGGGATTACAGGCGTGAGCCACTGTGCCCAGCCTGTCTTCTTTAATATTTCAAAAACATGTTTAATATAATTGCTTTCCTTTGAAGTACTATATGTATTCTATTTTTGCAATTCTGAGAAGGGGATGTGTGGGACATAAAAGATTAAGAATTGCTGATGTAGACAAACAACAGTGAAGACAGACTGGAAGTATCTTTCTAGTGGCCCTCCTGACTGCTCCAGTTTTGTCCAGTTGAGATGAGAAAGGCAGGTGCTGTGCCCAAGGTGGGTCTCCAGGATATTTCACCACATAACATTAATCTGGGGTGCTTTGGTACCCTCATGGGCCCTGGGTGCTGCTTGTCACCCCCTGGCTGACTCTTGTTGACGTTCTTCCCTTTGCTGCCACTCTCAGCATGTCAGCTGAACTGTTCTGACCATGGCCACTGTGACTCCTTTACCAAACGCTGTATCTGTGACCCTTTTTGGATGGAGAATTTTATCAAGGTGCAGCTGAGGGATGGAGACAGTAACTGTGGTGAGTTTTCTATGTGGCACAGTGCCAGCCTGTTTGGCGCTGAATGTGGTTCTGCACTGAGTGGGTGGGTGTTGGTGTTTCTGAAGCAGATGAGCAGGCAAGGAGAAGAACTTTGTGTATTTTCTGTTTGCAGAGGACTTTTACCTCCTTCCTCCACACTTGCCCAAGGTTAGAGGAAAGCTCTGAAGCAGTCGTGTAAGAAGAACCAGGCTTAACTCAGATCAACTGCCAGTTACAGCCTAAATCCCACCAGCTGAAAAGCCTCCTGTCTTTTGGAGTGCCTCCGTGCTGTAGCCTAATGGAAGCCCTCATTTCCCTCTTAAAGCTCTTTTCAGCCTGCACCACTGCTGCAGGGTCTCAGGGCTTGCCTGGAGCAGGGACTGAAAAGCAGGGACATTTTAAAAGGTTTAAAGCCTCAGCTGCCCTTAACTCCAAGGTCTCACCTTCCTGGGGAGCCCTGGGGCATGCTTGTCTCCAGAGTGAGGCCGTACCTGCCCAAGCTGAAAGCAGCCCAGATCTCCCTTCCAGCCTCTCCCTCCACAGCCCTTACCATTTTGATTTTCTTGGCAGAGTGGAGCGTGTTATATGTTATCATTGCTACCTTTGTCATTGTTGTTGCCTTGGGAATCCTGTCTTGGACTGTGATCTGTTGTTGTAAGAGGTAAGATGGATTCTCCTTTGAAATTCATTTGGGCTTCTTGTCATACATTGGTTCCTCAGAGAGGTATTTGGCACCTTCCACGTGGAAGGACTGTGCTGGGTCCGCAGTCAGCATTAGTGAGGTCTGACCCACCGAAGGCATGCACAGGCACCTTCCTCACCCTTAGGCTATCCTGAGGGCAGAAGCACACTCCTTCAGTGAGTGGCAGCCACTGCAGTGATTTGGAACCTGGGAAACATGGCTGGGCGGGAGTGGGGCAAGGTGGGGAGGTGAGTGTGAGGACCAGGGGTACGGACCTGGATCACATCTGTAAAGTGTGTATTCTTTAATCCACTACACCTTAGCCTCACCAGCATAGCCCACGAGTTTTTAATTCTGCCTTCCTTTCTAGTTGGGATTCGCAGGTGTGCATGTTTCCACACAGGTATACTCTTATGTTAGCCAGGCTCAAGCGTCCTGTGTTTTTCATTTGAGTCTTCCTATTGAGTCTTCTAAGACGGAAAGGTTACATTTATTTTATGTTTTCATTATTGGTAAGTATTATTTCTGTATATACTGTGTGCCATAATATTTTTATAGGTAATACCATTTTAAATACAAATAACCTTTCCCCATTTTACAGATAAAAACCTTAGGCTGGAAATGTACATCACTGTCTGAGGACCAGTTAATAGTGACAGAGCTGAGATTCAACCTGCAGTATAACCTCACATGAAACTTAGAACTAGGCCAGGCGGGGTAGCTCACGCCTATAATACCAGCACTTTGGGAGGCCGAGGTGGGTGGATCAGGAGGTCAGGAGTTTGAGATAAGCCTGGCTAACATGGTGAAACCCCGTCTCTACTAGAAATACAAAAAGCAGCTGGGCGTGTTGGCGCACACCTATAATCCTAGCTACTCGGGAGGCTGAGGCAGGAGAATCACTTGAACCTGGGAGGTGGAGGTTGCAGTGAGCTGAAATGGCGCCACTGCACTCCAGCCTGGGCGACAAAAGCAAAAAACTCCATCTCAAAAACAAAAACAGAAACTTAGATCTAAAGGAAATTTTAAAAATTCCTACCAGCCTAAGACAACCGCCATTACCAACTTTGTTAGTGTAATGCCTCTCTCTTTCCACACCCTTCAAGCAGAGGATTTTGTTTTTACATTTTTAACCATTCTATCCTTCATTGCCCCTGTGGAGTGGTGTGAGTTCATGCAAAAGTGGTCATAGCTCCCTTCCCCTTCTCCAGAATTGATGAGGAACGAATCACAGTTGCTGGCTGAGAAGTGAGGAGAGGACACCCTTCCTAGTAGGCACCCCACCAAGACAGGGTTCTGTATGCACATCTGGCTCTCATCCTCCCAGAGGACTTCTTTCCTGAGCAAGGGTGGGGATTGTGTTTTTTAGGCAAAAAGGAAAACCCAAGAGGAAAAGCAAGTACAAGATCCTGGATGCCACGGATCAAGAAAGCCTGGAACTGAAGCCAACCTCCCGAGCAGGTAGGGACCCAGGGCGCAGGAGACTCTGGGTCTGTGCACTCTCTCTGTGGAAGGCCGCTGTCATTAGCCCCTCCTGAGTATGTCACTAACAGCTCACTGTGCTTGCAAAGCATTTTGTTCCCTTGCCTGATGAAGACTGAGGATCAGATTTGCCCTGAGCTGCACTGGACAAAATGCCTCTAGAGAACCCACTTTGCAGTGCTCCTTCCACTTGGCAGAGGGGCTGGGCCTTTTGTTTTCCTTTGCCTGTGCATTCTCATGTTTCCCACCTGGACTTCCACTTTTTCAACTGCCCCAGGTAGTCAGGGTCAGGGACCTTGAACTTGTCTCTTATTGCTGCTCAGTCTGTCCTTTATGGGCAGAGATGAGACCCAGGCCCATGTCTGCCGGCTGACCTCCTTTCAGCCAGTCTTGTTCTCCTGTCTTTCTACCGTTATTATTTGGCAAGTCCACAGCCTCTGTCAGTGTCTTAGGGCAGATAGGAGGGCAGTTTCCCTGCAGAAACACTAAAATGACTTTGACTGATGGCACTGGGAGATTAGGGCAGGTAGTGGGCCTTCTTTCCTTGGCTCGGCTGGGTCAGCTGGTGAGAGTTTCATTCATCATGGATGCCATGGGACAGGTATTGTCGGTTTATGAGAGCTGGACTCTATAAAGCGATTCCTAAACACCCTGCAAATAGAACTATTTTTATATAAAGCATTTCTTAAACACCTTTCGTACTTAAAGCTTTGTGTTAGGGAGAGGCTGTCGGGGTTTAGAGAGTCATCAGACACAGGCTATGCCCTCAGTCTAGTGAGGGAGAAAAGACACACAGTAGCAGAAGAGAACAGTCTCACAGCAGTCTGGACTCTGCACCAAGCAGCTGGATTCACCAACACTCAAGGTGAAGATTGGAGGTGGTGGGACCTGAAATGGGCCCAGGAAACCAGAGTAGTGAGGGTAGGCAGAGGTTTTCACCCAGGAATGTTGAGAATGAGGGCATGGAGGTGAAATGTGCAAAACCCACCCCTCACACAGCAGCCAAGGCTTTTATCACGTTACTTGGATCATGCTTTTTCACCCCCTGACATTCTTCAATGACTTACTATTTCTAGCACAAAAAGCTAGAGTTTTTGGTCTGGTAGATGTGGTCTTTGTGAGCTTACATCAGTTTGCTTTTCCAGAACCTTTCTCTTTGCCGATCTCCCTCTTTTCTGAACAAGTTCTGCTGGTTAACCCAGTAATCGCTTTCTTTCTTTAAAATTTGGAGAAGAGGTCTCACTCTATCACCAGGCTGGAGTGCAGTGGTATAGTTATAGCTCACTGCAGCCTCCAGCTCCTGGGCTCAAGTGGTCCTCCTGCTTCAGCCTCCCAAAGCTAGGACTACAGGTGTGTGCCACCATACCCAGCCCTAGAAAACTCTTTCTTATCCCTCCCTAAACCTCCTCAGGTTGTGGTCACCTTTCTCCTACATGCCTGGGTCAGCATTTCTCTCACTGTCTCATTGTTAGTTATGTTTGCCTGTCTCCTTACCCGTCAGTGAAATCCCTGAGGGCAGGGGCTATGTCTCATTCATCTGTGGATGTGGAGCGGGACCACTGTGTGCCAGGCCCTGGGCCAGACACTGCTCTACTGTGGTGAATCAAATGGACAGACTCCACTCTTATGTAGCTGATGTCAGACAGACATTAAGCAAACTCACAAATGTATAAAATATGCTTGTAAAAGGCCTTTATGAAGAAAAACACTTAAGCTGAGACCTGGATGAGTAGAGCTGGATAAAGCTGCAGGAAATAGCACAGGAACAAAACTGGTACAGGCCCAGCCGCTGGAAGGAGCAGAGAGCATTTGAGGAGGTGGAAGAAGGTGACATGCTGGACAGGTTCACGTGCCCACAGAGTAAGGGCTGAGTGACCCAAGGCTCAGTGGATGAGCAGCGGCCCTGCTGAGGGCTCTTCTTGAGCATAATGGGGATCCACTGATAGATTTTTAAGGAAGTAAATGGTGGGATTTGGTCTACATTTATTATTATTATTACAATTATTATTATTTGAGACAGGGCCTCACTCTTGCCAACCAGGCAGGAGTGCAGTGGTGCAATCAAGGTTCACTGCAGTCTTGACCCCCCAGGCTCAGGTGATCCTTCCACCTCAGCTTCCCAAGTAGCCAGGACCACAGGCATGTGCCACCATCCCCAGCAATCTTTTTTTTTTTTTT